CATATCTGTAGCGACTAAAAGTATTATATGAAAGCAAAGCTGCAATAGGCAGTTGGGTCAATCAATATTTACTTACTGGTGTAGTGGGCCATCAACTGCTCTGTGTTGTTGATTGTATTGAAGATACGCTATTTTCAGCGTCCAAACACTGAGACAGCCTTCTCTAAAGCCTGGGTGGCTAATAATGCACCTTGATTTCTCGTCGGTGTCTTATATCTGGTCAGTAGGTTGCAAACTGTCTATTTGTTCCATCACCTGCCAGATCTCTCTGCAGCATACACATTCATCTGCAGTGGGCATGCTTTCACAGCATTGACATGTACACCTGAATATTGTACATAACATAAAAAAAAACAATATCTGCCGGACGTGTGAGGAACAGATGACAAATTAAGATCGACATTTAGTGCAGGTCAAATTAAATAAAACAGAATTTACCATTCAGTATTGCCGACTCGAGTCTCGCCGGCTGCGGAATCCGCTTCTCTTTCACAAGTTACTGCCTCGTTGTTCGATTGCCGGGCAGGAGGCTCGTACTGATAAGGCAAGATGCCTTGAAGTGAAAGGCTAGCTGGTTCACTCTCTACTTCTGTAACTGAATCCAGATAACCCACCGAATCTGAGCTTGAATGATCGCTATCGCTGTCTGAAGTTGTCGCGTTGCTTGCCATTTTGACTGATTTGATCAAATGGCAATATTTGCCACGTGTGACGTCACCGGTCGTTCGGGCGTACTCGGCAAACTTCGGAACCAACATCGTTTTTTAACGTATATGTCATTTAATTATGACCAAACTTTAAAAAAAAAAAAAAATNTCGCTGTCGCTGTCTGAAGTTGTCGCGTTGCTTGCCATTTGGACTGATTTGATCAAATGGCAATATTTGCCACGTGTGACGTCACCGGTCGTTCGGGAGTGATCGGGGGCGTACTCGGCAAACTTCGGAACCAACATCGTTTTTTAACGTATATGTCATTTAATTATGACCAAACTTTAAAAAATAAATAAATAATTTACAAAAAATCCATTAAAAAATGTCATCCGTGGAAGCCGTAATACTGTAAAAAGCACAACCAATCATTTTAGCCGGCCCGGCTAAAATAACTGGATGGCCTACCTGCCTGTCAGCCTTCCATCTGTGCACACATTTATCTCGTGTCCTCATTGGTCATGTGCTCGTTCGTGGGTGTTGGAAGAGGGGCTCTGTAAGGAAGTGGCAGATTTTTTCCTGCTGTGTATTTTCAGATTCTAGCGCACTCGAGCTGGTTTCTCCAAAATTACCTACCCCACCTTTAAGGTGGAATCTAACTATATCCCGAATAATTTGTATTGCATCCAGGGGTAGAAACATGTTTATGATCTGCTGTAAATTTGGGCATTTTAATAACATGGGGGTCTATGGAAATTCATCCTTTCTGCAATCATCGCCTATCAGCCAATAGATGACCTGCAGTTTGTGGCACTTCCTTATTGGCCTAAAAGAATAAAAAAGTCACAAGTTTAGTAGCCTTTCATCAGTTTCCTTTTCAGGTTTCATCCTGTGCTTCGGGAACTAGTGCCCTCCTGTTTTCCAATATCCCAGTCTGCAAATTAAGAAACTGAAAAGCCCAGTCAGGTCTTACCTGAGAAG